ACCCTCAGTGCCCAGGGTCAGATCTGTCCCCAACACAGGGTTCAATAACCACAGGACAAGGCTGTACTCTGTGTGTGTGTGTGTGTGTGTGTGTGTGTGTACGCACACAACAGAATTAATTAACGCATGGCCCCCTGTGGCCTATGCTGTAATGCATCCAGTTATTTTTTTGCTTGTCGTCTTCTTTTCTGTTTCATTTACTTTCTGTTTCGAACTGCTTGTATTGTTTATCTCCCACTATAACAGCTTTCACTATTTTGTCAGTTACCATTCTAATATGCAAGCATAAATAAACAGTTAATAAGTCAATTTTGTATAGGTTCATTTAGGTCATTTCATTGCTGATTTAGGATAATAATTCAATGTTTAAGGCTTGTGGCCCTTTGCTCTCTTTATATGGATATGCATTTATATGACGCATTTCCAGTCTTAATGACCACTCAAAGCACTTTACAGTACTGTTTTTTTGTTATTCATCAATTCACACAAAAGCTGCTTTCAGACATGCACTGAACTTTCCTCGGAGGACGTACATGTGTCAATGCAAATGTCCATAGACTTTGTCCGGCTGGCCCCCGAGTAAAAGTCCCCAGAAAGTCGGGAGAATACGAGAATCCCTTCCTGGATTCACAGCGAGCAAGTAGGGGGGGGGATTGATGATGCTTCTAACAAGCGACAGACGTTAAAATGAAAAAAAGAAAAAGAAAAGAAATATCTCCCAGTGAAAAAGCAGTGACACTCAGGAGAAGACAGATGAAGATGTCAAGAGAGTTTGTGATGATAAGAGCCAACACCCTAGTCTGTTTGTTGTCAAGAAAGTCACCTGATATCTGCAGCAGAGTTAATATGTTACTTCCTGCCCCTGCCTGCTGCACTCGGCTGCTCCACCTCAAACCACTGACATTAGGTTTAGAGGACATATAATGATATCATGTTACACAATTGTGGGACTTCATCAAGGTTGAATTGACATGATCTTTGTTTGATTTGGGGCCATAGTTGACCGTTTGTCCGCTGACCTCAGTCTTTATCATTTGAATTCAATATCAAGCATAGTATGAAATCAAACTTACTGGACATGAGCAGAAGTCCGAGCAGTCAGCTTTAGATCTGAAATGCTATGTTTTCTTTGTGTGTGTTGTGTTGTGAGGGGGTGCCACAGTACACTTGTCTCGATATATATTTGTCTGTTTGCTTGTCTATTGCATAGGTCAACTGACTGGAGTCCATCTGGACACAGTTTGATGTTGTTTATGTAGTGTAAGTGTGGTTGTTTGGGTGAGTGTCTGTCTTGGCGCATGTCTTAAGGGGGTGTTGGGGGGTGTTGAGGTTTTCCTTTTGTTGTCAGGGCATATGTTTTAATCATATGCAAGGGTCATTTGCATGTCATAGCTAGAGGCAGTGGGAGGTTCAGTTATTGATTGTTTGGGGGTGTGGCTGGACAGAGAGTGAGCTGAAAATGCTGGCCAATTTTAGGAGGTCAAGCCTAGATACACACACACACACACATGCACACACCAGTACACAACAAATATATCCATAAAAATGAAAAATCTCTGCCTCAGCTGGCCTCAGGTCAGTTGAGACTCTGCAGGGGGCAGGGGGGGCTTTAACATGCCCCAAAGGCCCCTAATCCTCCTCCATTCAAAACCACAACCTCCTATTGACCTTTTCTGTCTGCCTATCTTTACTCCTTGATAATTCTTGCTCTTCCCAGATTTTCTCTTCTTTAAGGTACATTCCACCATTGTGAATTTATTAATTAAAAAAATTAAATTAAAGTAAACTAGTGCAGTGCCCGTTCTAAACCTGCCTGTTTGGATTGGCCTGTGTTAATGCTGAAACTGTAAGTGAGCCTGATTGACAACAACCCTTGCGTTGATGAGTCCCACCCACGGCTGCTATAGAGCACTGTTTACTTGTTTATTCAAAGCTTTTTTTTTGTATTGAACATATCACATGTCCAAATCTCACCAAATTTGACACTGCTTTTCTGTCTCTCTTATTCAAGTGTGAGATGACGATAGCACTTTGATTTCCAAGTAATAACTCCATATAGTATTTAGTCCAACTATGCACAAAGCCTGCAGGCAAAAGTGAAATGATGAACCTGCAATATACAGTAGATCTTCGTGGTTCACAACCCCAGGAGAATACGCCATAATGCCTTCCAGGGGTGTAACAGTACACAAAAAACATGGTTTGGTACGTACCTCTGTTCTGAGCTCAGGGTTTGATAAGTTTTCAGTACATTTTCAGTACACTAGAAACAAGGAACAGAAAACATTAAACAGATTTTTTATTTCTTTTTATTCAACTCTGGTTAACTATGGCTGTGTCTTTCTTACCTAAGTAATTTTAGTAAAATAACAAAATACACACTCATAACTAAATAAATAAAAACTAAAATTAATTTTCATTTGGCAGCATGTAGAAAATTAACTATACTTAAACTGCACCATTATTGTATGATTATCATTATTAATATATGGATTTTTTTCTTCATTTTATTTCATATATGTCCATATAGAGAGAGGGTTTGATGCCCTGCTGGCATTAACAATGTCTCCGCTGTGGAGAACACTTTCATGCTAGGGACAGAGGTTTCTAAAGGGTGGTGTGACTTGCTGGCTGACAAGAGTGAACTTCTTAATGGAGCTTTCAGCGTGTGTTTCAACCCTTCTGTTCTCAACACGTGAGAATGGTTGCATGTCCACTGCTATAAAAACACCTATGCTACACTCGTTATTGCTTGTACACAGTCTGAATGATTTGCAAGCAGCAGCTTAAATGTCGCAGGGAGGTGTTTGTAGTCAACTTGTTTTTCCCCATGTCCCACTAATGTTAGTGTCATTAATGTTTGTTGGACATCACTCTGGTGATGCCGTTTCAAACAAGTCGGCACATTTGACGTGTTATCAGGAACATATCTGACAAAGATGTCTGCTTCTCTACGATCCATTCATCTTTGTCTATCGTCATCATAGTTGACTGTAAAACTGAAGTGTTGGTTCAGCTTCTATTTCCTGACCCTGTGTTGCCTCTGATGTTGCCTCGCCTTTGGTCTCTAGTAACTCGCAGTCTTCCCCTCAGCAAAGCTGGGCCAACATGTGAATGGTGGCAACGTTAACGTTAACAAACTAATTGCCATAGAGCTCAAGAGCATCACTGGGTTGGCTACTGTGAACTGTCTGAATATATTTTGACAAAGTTCATAAGATGGTCAGTCCAAGTGGCCCATACCACTGCAATGTTTATTGTCATTTACTGCAAAATATTTCCCATTCAGTGCCTTTGATTTGATGATGCCTTAGGTTCATTTTAATACCTTGTTCACGCAACATTTTGGCAATGTTGTTGTAAATTGCATTGTTTCTCACATTGCCAGAAACTGGCCTCTGCATTTCTTTTTCAGGAGAAGCCCTATCACTGTGCTGTCTTACCAGCGTTGCATCTTGCAAGATATGACGAAAAACCGCTGTTGCACATTCAAAGATGTAAAAAAGTACTTAAACGTTCTTGGCTACTCAAAAGTTCAATACACATCATAGTCTCAGGCTGGAAAATAACAGCTGCTGCTTCTAGACTGCAATTAAAACAGGAAAACTAAATAAGCAGGATCCCTCTGGTGTCATGTTTCCATCACTTCTGATTGGATCCTGAGCAGATAAAAACCTGGGTCATTGGACCTGGGAGTGAATTGCTGATTCCATTCCCATTGCAGGCAAAAAGCCAGATGTTAGTGGGGTTTTTGACCACTGGAAAAGGGGCTTAAGTGGTTCATATTAACCCTTAGGCCACCATGAGGCCCTTACTGGAGCCCTTTTGTGATTGACAGCTGCATACAGTGACACAACATCACACAGGCCCTGTCCTCATTGTGGTGTTGCCAGGTTTGGAGTCTGCCCTAAATCTGGAAAAGCCCCAACTCTTTTTTGAAGACCAGTTTGATATTGAGCAACGTATAGTCTGTACTTTGACTCTGGGTAAGCGCACAGATACAGAAGTACAAAAATACTAGTAGTGTTTAATGATATATTAAATATCTCTGTATCTCTGTCTCTCTCTCTCTCTCTCTCTCTCTCTCTCTATATATATATATATATATATATATATATAAAACTACTAACTATATTATTCAATTTACACACACACACACACATGCGTGCACACACTTTTCCTGACTGACCTTTCTTCCAGCCACGTCTCGTCCATGAACAAACTCACATAGCTTTCTCCAGCTGAGGGGGGTTTCCCTCTCTGCATTACATGCATGAACAAGTGTGTGTGTGTGTGTTAGTGTGAGAATTTGTGCGTGTGTGCATGCATACATTGCATTCATGCATGATCAGCCCTGTCTTCTCTGTGACCTGTGTGTGTTTTTGTGTGTTGGAGCCACCATTTGTTAAATGTACATACGTAGACTGTGCACAATGTTTATTTCTTTTTAGGACAGACTCACTGAGAACTGTTCCTGGAGTGTGCCTGAATCTTTCATACAGAAACTCAAAGAAAGAAAAAAAACACAATTCTGAAAAGTGGTTTGTGAAGTGCATGAGACATTTTGTGGTAAACGAAATGTCTATAATATTTTTAAGTTATTGTATGTTGCTTTGGTTGAGAAGGTTTAACTTGTGGTTTTCTTTACTTAAGCAAGAAGAAAATACATCCTGGTAGAAACAAATGGTTGTGATGTTTTTTAGAATGATCACAACCTTTTAATTTTCCATAGACTATATAGTAGAAGTGGTTTTCTACAGTATTTGACTTTTTGTGTGTGGGACAGTTGCGCATTGCTTGTAATGTGTGTGCATGAATGTATTTGACAGCAGTGTAGCTGGCGTGTGTGAGGCTTATTAATAATGTATGAGGTGGGAGGGGTGGAGAACAGGGGGTGGCGACAGATGGAGAATCAGTGTGTGTGTGTGAGAGAGAGAGAGAGAGAGGGAGGGAGAGTGTACGGTGTGAGAACAGTGAGAGGACACAGAGGGAGAGAAAAGGACAGAGAGAGAGGGGAGGAAGACGATAGAATGAATCAAAGAGATGGACAGAGTCTAATGTTTCCTACATTTTGACAGTAGTGACATCTCCTGCTGTAGAACTGCTGTGGTGGATTTGACAGTTGCTCAGTCTTTTTGCTTGCGGTTTTCTCTCTGGTTCCTTGGATGCTGCAGGATTGATGGAGATACAACAGAGTCACTCAGCACTGCCGTACACCTGGAGACAAGAGCTGCACTGACAGAGGTACTGACACACAGTTTGTCTGCACATTTACAGAATGTGTGTGTTTGTGTGTGTGTGTGTGTGTGTGTGTGTGTGTGTGTGTGTGTATGTGTGTTTCAGTAGGGGAGAATAAAACATTTTCATTTTTCCAGCAAAGAATATGAGATTGGCACACTCACGGTAACCAGCATTTAGCAATAACACTTACACATGGATTAAACACAATTCAGAGTACTGTACTTTATGGGTCCGAATCCACCTGTTCAGCCTTTGTCCACATTTTTTTATCACTGGTTCCATGTCTTCACTGACTGATGACAGAAAGCATAAACAGCAACAACAGAAACACACACACACAAGCTCTTTGGCACAGGTATTTTACCTTTCTGCTTATGACTCTTTCTGTCTTTGTTTCCATCGTTTCCAATTTAACTTGGCCATGTATTCATATATCTGCTTTCATTCTCAGACATATATAATGACATCAGCAGCATTAGAAGTTTCACAGCATCACATCACACAAGATGATGCGATGTACCCGGCTCTCGACATAGTGGCTGATAATAATTAACCGTGTGATACTAATTGTTGGTTGTCTCATACTAGTTAGCTCCGCATGTTAGTACTGAAAACAATTAACTGATGTTGCTTATTGAATGACCTTATGCTGGCTTATGCTTATATTTTATCTAAAAGGTAGCAGGATAAGTGTCTGACACTCACACACTATATTAGCACAAGCTATGTCACAGCAAGGGTATTCTCCCCTGACTGCAATGTATGGATGGTGTGATAGAAAAAGTGCTCTCTGTACAAGTGCTGTATGACTATGTGCGTCATACAGCACTTGTGCAACTTGTACTGTAGAGCACTTTGAGTGATTGATAAAACTGGAAAAGTGCTATATAATATTACCAGTAAAGTCCATTTAGCATTTAGGATTGAAGGTGCTCTCGGAAGAGATGACACTTCAAGAAGTTTTGAAGAGAGGGGTGAGGAGACAGTATTTGGCAGCTCACTCCACCATCAGGGAACGACACATGAAAACAGTCTTTTGTGCTGGGATGACAGTGCCAGATGACGTTCCTTGGGGGAAAAGAGGGACTGTAAAGGAGCATAAGTCCGTATGATTGAGATCAAGTGGATGTTGCAGACCCAGAAGTCGCTCTACAGGGAAGAATTAGTGACTTGAATCTGATAAAGGGCACCCATGTGTGTGTGTGTGTCTGGTGATGGAGGGCTTTCTGAAGATGCTATGTGATTGTAGGGCTGTTTGAATACAGAACACACTACACCCATTTATGAGACAGCTCTCTTGGATTTTTACTTTGTATTTGTGTATTGGTGAAGTAAAACATACAAGAGATATTTTCCATCTTGTCCTATGTTCTCAAATGGGATAAATATATATGTTGGACAAAGGCATAAAGTTAATGATGTCTGATCTCCTGAGCAGGCCACATGGCTTTCACACTATTGCCATAAAAGCCAGTAGCCAGTCGGATTTACCTTTAGCCTCAGCGTACCCTCAAGTTCGACCTGTATCATTGACTACAAGGCCAAAACACTTGGTGATGCTAAGGTACACAACTAAGGTTATGTCCCTAACATCTGCTGGAGGCAGCTAACACCTGCTAACATCCCTTGTAGTTGATTCACCATCTTGTACTATGTTCAGAAAGTGTGTGTGTGTGTGTGGAATATGCAGGTAGGAGGATAATTACATTAATACATTTCAAGTTTTTCTTTCATGTGCAGATGTGTATATGTGTGTATATGAGTAACTGTTTGTTCATGGATGCAAGAGGGTTGATAGGAGTGGGAGGAGAACACCACACACACACACACACACACACACACACACACACACACACACACACACACACACACACACACACACACACAGTTATGAGCACATGCACACATGCATGCGTGCACACACAGTTATCCTCACACACATTCTGACATACACAAATACAGTCCTTCCTTTGTTTGGGAGCATTGTGAAGAAAAGGTTAATGCAGCCAGAAAAAAGAAAGGGAAAAAGAGCCCCTAATGGACAACAACAGGCCTTTCACTGCAAATATTTGGTCAAGAGGTTTCATACTAACCATCCCATCCCCCTTTCTGTCTCTGCTCACCAGCTCTCTGTGGCCAAAGACAAAAGATTAGAATAAATTGTCACTATCTGATCTGTTACATTGCATTTTTCTTTCTAGATAGAACAAAGCTCAAGGCCCTATATCTGATTACAATCTTGGTGCAAGGAAGAAAATCTGAGAAGACGTGCAGCCTCCACCAGACATCTCAACTGCACGGGTCAGGCTTGATATTACAGTACCAATGTGCAGCGCCATTGCAGCTTAGTAGTGTTACATTGTAGTTCAGGGCAAAGTCAGGTTGTGGACGACAGGGTGGTTGATGGGTACATGAGTGTGGCATATTCTCACAGAAGACAGATTGAGTTTACTGCCATTACCTTGGTTCAGTTTACTTTAATAGTTAAGAGTGGCCTTTGCCTTCCATGGTAATAATGAATTCAACTTGAATGCTAAGGATGATTTAATTTTCAAAACATGGTTTTCAATACATGTAGTGAAATTCTTGCCCTGGTTGAAGTATCAAATAATATCACAATTTATACCAGAATCATAGCATATAGAGAACAGCAAGAGAAATGTATCTAGAAAGCTTTGTTTATGTGGTGTATTTTTCATATCACAAACTTTGAATGGCTTTGATCGTATCATTTGGCTCTATTGATTAAAAACTACATGACATCATATCAGTGGTTTGATCATCGTCATTTGTTGTATTTCCACTACCATTCAGTAGTAAGAGCTCAGGCCCATGTGTTAAGCTTTTTACACAGAGATTTCATTTATATTTATATTCAATTCAATTCAATTCAATTTTATTTGTATAGCGCCAAATCATAATATACATTATCTCAAGGCACTTTACATAGAAGGTCAGGACCTTAAAATCAAAATATAGAGAAACCCAACAGTTCCCACAATGAGCAGCAGTTTGGCGACTGTGGAGAGGAAAAACTCCCTCATTAACAGGGAGAAACGTTGTGTTCTCTTCTGTTTTTCCTTGCTGCTGCTGCTTGGACTGTTGCATATTATGTAATCAGAGATGTTTAGCTTGAGATGAATCCTCTGCCATGTCAACTTAATCTGTTGGCTCAAAGTGTGTGTGCGTGCATGGGGGTGTGTGTGTGTGTGTGCGCGTAGTGAGATATCATGGAATAAGCCCTCACCAGCAGAAAAAAACATTGCATGCAGCATAAACCAAGTTCCTGTCATGAAATTTTCTAAAAACTGAAGATTATCTTCAGTGCTGATGCTCCATCTCACATGAATTTAGCAGAAGATGCTTTGTGTCACAGGTCCTACTCAGTGCTAGTATATTTCAAGTGAAATGTAAGGACATCATAGTTTACTGTAATCTAAAGATTCTCTTGATTTGTTTTCCTGTGATCCCCATCAAAACTAACGAATAACTAGAATGCCAGTTCAGCCACCAGCTGAGGGTCCATGTAAAAAAAAAAAAAGACTTTAAAAAATTTTTGTGAAAGCATGTTAAATGTGGCCCCTTTAGTCACTGAGCAAAGATAATCTCAATTGTCCTGCAGGAACTCACATGTGTGCATCAGATGTTATACACTAATACTGGCTCGAGTGGTTAACAGCAGCAGTGACAGTCACCAGGACTAAAAAGACACTCTGACAGCTGATCTCGGGGACATGGAGTAGATAATCTTCAGGAGTTGTACAAGTGTAGGTAGTCAACTAGACTTGCTTGTGTATCTCCTCATCCAAGATATGAGATACACAAGCCGAGATTGGATAGCCACAGGTTTTAAGTTCTATTTTTGTCCTTATTTCTTGAGGTCAATTCTTCTGGAGTGTGTTATGACATGATAGAAAATGCTCTTCTGCTGTTCCCCTGCCCTTGGAGTGTTGTGAAGACTGTGCCTTTTCACCCTAAGGACTAAACACCCAGACAGAAACACAACGATGCAATCCAATGCAACAAAACAACAAATAATGATTACAAAAAACCCTTCATCAACATGTATGGTCCAATCACTCATACTTTACAGTACTGTGAGTGTTCTAGTCCTCCCTCTCTCCTGTATTTGGCCACAAGTTTTCAATATCGAAGCATTTTGTGAATGTAAGAAGAGTTAAGCTGACATACCCAAGGTACATCACCACAGACCTAAAAACTCCCACCTGTCAGTTAGAAGTAGCGTCTTGGATGAGAGGTGTAACATCTTTAAGAAAGCAAGTCCAGTTGCCTATTTGCGTGGTAAATGGTATGTGGGGTATTCTATGCGTGTGGTAGAGTGACTGAAACACTGTGACAATAACATCAGCACTGTAAATAATGTAACACAGTAAATTAGCTCTGTGCACATGTGTATTTGCCTCTTTAAAGAATGTGTCCAGAACAGTAAACATGGTAATGACTGCCCTTAATTTGAATAAGCTATTTGGGGGTTAGTTGTTCGCATGTATTTTTCCACTCAGTGGCTCTTTTGATTGTTTAGGACTCAGGGCTCAGCTTGCCACTGGCCTCTGCTCCACTCACTTGTGAAATGGTTCCTTTAATTTGTGACCATGTGTTGCTGAAGGTTATACTATATCCTCTCACATTTAATTTCACCCAGTTACCCAGATATGACAAATAGGTCAGGATGATATATGTTGTGGCATCTATTCCTGTTTTTATCTTAATGTGTACTCTTTTTTATTTTGTTACATAGAAAAGCGGGTTAAGATATTTCTTTTGAGGAAACAGACTCAGTGTAACTTCTTAAAGAAACATCACAAATCCCATCCTATCCTTACTTTAATTGGAGGTTCTGGTAAAGTTGCCCATGCTTGTGCTGTGTCTCTATTTCTGTAGGAGTTTAGCTTCAACAGATCAAGAATTGTGATCGTGGCGGCAGCTGATCGTGGAGTATTATTTCCAACAAGACTGCTTGATATACAATATCCCTATTGTCT